TTTTTTTTTTTTTTTTTTTTTTTTTTAAACAATGACACATGTTATTCTGGCTTGTATTTTGACCGTCGATCAGAGAATTCGTGTCGCTATTTATGAGTTAATATCTGCTCGTTAATTCGAAACTCAGCATCGATTGATCTAGCAAAATTACAAGTGTCAATCAAAGCTTACCAATATCTTTGGTGACTGCTCTGTCTGTTATAGCAACGATCAACAAAAGGAACAAGTGTTTCTTCATGTTCAAATGTTTCGCGAGAGCGAGCATTCTTGACGTTCGAATCTTGACGTTGCAAACTGACTGGTATCGGTTCGCGATCGGGCATCGATAGCGCACGACTGACGAATGCCAAGCCGTGTACAACTACAATTAACCATATTCTCCCACCATACTGATTGTCTTGCCAGCTACCGGCTTGGACACCGTTTTGTTCGCGTTTTACCGGTCGAGTCGCTAATCATTTGCAAGCGACATTTTACCGTTTTATAACGATAAATGGTGAAACGTCGTAAATTCGTCGTTAAACGAGCCGTATGATTCACTCAGCCAGATACGTATATCGTAGATAAGTAAAAAGATAACGATTATCACGGAAGGGCGTGCGTTGCGTACCTTTCTACAACAAGACGTTGTAACATTTCTCGCTCGAAGTTAGCACGAATATCGAAATGAACGGTCAAATCCTCAAGATTCTTCTCTTCTTCGCGGTTTTCCAATCGCTATCGTGTCAACGTGAGTATCATTAGCAAAATCTTGTACATAAATGTCGAATGACGATAAGATGTGTCGGTCGATGAAAAGTACAAACGGGTCGATTTATATTTTGCTGTACATTTCGTCTCAATATATTTTATCCCGTTCTTCTCAGAAAGCATGCAAGATGGGACGGTAAAAATCGGCGAGAGATGCGAGAGAGATCGCAACTGTATCGCACACGCGTTTTGTCGTTCACAAATGACCTGTCTGTGCGATCAATATTATTCGCCTATTCCCGACAACTCGATGTGCATCGCTAGTGAGTATCGTTTCGCAAAATCCCTGACAGTCTGTATGTCCAAAGATTTATTCGATAATGGAATGAATAACAGGTGCCGGATTGAGTTGCACGAATGATTTGGTATGTGGATCGATGACGAACGCTATGTGCAGACAAGGAGTATGCGCGTGCAAAGATTCGTATATTTTAGATATAAATAATTCCTCGAATTGTATCAGTAGTAAGTAACAGGACGGATTAGTAAAATTTCTTGCAGGCATCTTTGTAAATCCATGTGGATCAGTCTGTACGTGAATGGACGTTTCAGGGCCATTAGTAGTGGGTGATCGTTGTCAAAGGACTGACGAGTGTCAAGATGTATTTGATCGTGCCATGTGCATCAATGGACACTGTCAATGCATCACGTCTTATCATTTTGTTAATGAAACAGGGAAATGCGTTCAAACACGATGTAAGGATCGATATCCTTGTTGTTCGTTCGAATAAGTAGCTTGAGCACAAGTGAATCGCGATTAAAAACAGTTTAACAAATTGATACACGCTTTTTTCAGTTTTATATAATTTGTGTACGCAGAATTACGAGTGTAGGAGTTTACACAATGAAATTGTCCTTGAATGCAGAAACGGCGAATGTGTTAGTACAGGGGGACAAGGAACTTATACTAAAGGTTAATTGGAATTAATTGTACAGCCGCGATATAATTCGATGAATCCATCTTTTTGACGAAGCCTTTCTTTCAGGGTGCACGCTCGCTTTTCTTGGAATTCTTGTGACGCTCTTACCTTTTATAGATTGACTGATTTAAGTTAACAAATAAATCTCGACCAATTACAATTGTTTTATTTGTTTTTTTCTTTTCTTTTCTTTCGTTGACAAGTACCTCTGGAGTTGTAAAAAGTGCTGAAATTATTAAAATTGCGATAACTTTTACGCAGTAAGATCGTGACAAAATTCAAATTTGAAATTCGTGTGGTGTAATTTATAATTCGTATCGATTCCTCGCAGTATCTACAAATTTGCTTACTTTAATGCACGATTAATTTTAAGAGTCTCTTCTTATTTGCTGTTGTATTTCATTAATTATCAGTATTATTTCTAATATTAATATATTTTATTTCGAAAATTATTTAATTATATAATTATTTTCAAAAATTATATTCTATTGCATTTTAATTTTTATCAAAACTGGCATATCAAAATAGTCGTATATACTTGCCTATTAGTTGACTAGTCAAACAACTTTCGCATTAATATCTTGTTCTCCGATTCTTTCGTTTTCAGTTTTAACATACCGACCAATTTTTTTTTTAATAGTAATCTTTCGTGAAATGTTAGATCTATTTTATATCAGTTTCAAATTGAGATATGCTACTGATTTTCTATTCATAGTACGCAATATGTACGTAAATACACATTCCTGTTGAGGTTATGGAAAATAAAGTAATTTAGAGACTAACGTACAATAAATAATAAATTTAAACATATAATATCAAATGTGTTGATCTGTACATCCAGAAGGTAAATTTTATTTTGTATAATATTATTTTTATGTTGTATTTACGAAATACATGTAGTGTATAGAAAATAAGGTTATGTTAGTCATTCAACGTTACGTGTAATCCACTTAAAAGATTAATACTCAAAAGAAAAATATTTATAGTTCAACAATAATTATTTTTGTAATTTTTAACAATACATACATGTTCCAATGCATGTTTCAATGCAAAAGTATAATTTTAAAAATGGATACATTTCAAGCAATGGATAAATAATCATTATACTAACTAAGTGAATTATTCACTAGCATGTCGTGGTTTACAAATACAATACGTACAGCTATCAGTGTTTGGGTACCACAAGTGATGCCTGTTAGATTTCGTTATCACGCAGACAAAGTAGCAAGAGGTCCACTTGTGAGGCGTTTTGGCTATAATGATCCTATTGATATGAAAGGATTATTGCCCCGCAACAGTGATAAAAAATTACCCATGCCAATATATAGACCAAAGGATGCTTGGGCTGAGAAAAGAGCTTTGTTTGGCCAGAATGATTACATAGATATTTTGGGTTCAGAGAAGTTACATCCAACTAGAATCCTATATAATGTACCAGCTTGGCTAAGAGGCATAAGTGGAAATGAATATCAAATATTGCTAAGAAAACAGAAAATGTTGAAGCGTGGTATATTCCCAATTGCGAGACCAACAAAATGGAGAGAAATGAAAAAAAGAATAAAATATTTATATAAATACTTAAACAGGAAAACTAGAACTTTCAGCTCTCCCCAATAATGTATATGAAAGTGAAAAAATATAATTGCATATTGTAGCAAGACAAATATATTCTATCTTTATTTTTATAACATTAAAATCCTCGGATAATAATGGTACACGTTGTAACAAAATATAAAACAACGTATTTATTCATTGACAAACAATCGTTAGTTAGATGCATGATTCATTTGTAATTGCGGAATAATGTAAACACTTTTTCCGTTTTAAATCTTTGCTACCATTGATATCTATTGTAAAAAGTGTGAATGATTGCTCGCTTATATATACAAAATTAAGCATAAAATGGTGACAACCACGAGATAGACGAATTTCTGACGATAACTGGTTGTACAGTAAGTACAGTGAGTTAAAAGAAAAATCTAAAAAGTAGTACAGATTTAATAATTCTTATATATATACATATATATATATATACATATATATACATATATATATACATATATATATATATATATATATATATATATGTACAGAGAAACTGCGAGTATTGTCCATTTTTCTTAAAAAAGTAACAAGTCTTACAACTGCAAAAATTTATATTGCAAATTGCGTTTAGTACAAGTTTCGCGATGGCCGTATGCCCGAATGTGTTATATAAATATTATTTATATACGTACTTTTTTGTTTTTATAAACGGAAAAAGAAATATTATTCTCCATATATGCATAAAATTTTTAATTATTGTTTTATTTTAACTTCTTGTAGTAAAATTATAATACTGTTTAAGTAATGATTTCGGAGTTTTCATACAGAATGTTAGATTTGCATTAGGCAACACCATCGCGAACATAACGACGCGAAAAATAATTTTTAATTTATTCAATCTATGTACATAAACGTAATGGCAGTCAATTAAATTGTTAAAATATTTCAATCAGCATTTGCCGCTGTAATTATATATGTACTTGAATAAGAGTAATCAATTTATAAATGATTCTGTAAGAATGATAGCAACGTAGTTTCATAATGTTTACTAGCATCCAGACTTCTGAGACTATGTCTTTCATTGGGGTAAACCTGCAATTGATATGGTTTCCCAGATTTTACAAGTGCATTGATCAATTGACTTGTATGAAAAAAGTGTACATTTTCGTCTATGAGACCATGAATGATCAGTAATCTATTTTCTTCATCGGGAAATTTATCCACATATGTCAAAATTGAACCAGACATATACCCATGAGGATTATCTTGTGGTAAATCCATATACCGTTCGGTATATCCAGTATCGTAAAAATTCCAAGAAGTAACTGGCGCACCAGCGATAGCTAACTGAAAATGGTACAT